TAAAATTCAATCGTGATTTCTTGGCAGAGAGTGAGAGTTGTTGCTTTTATTTTACTTTTTGATTTTATTTTAGTCACCCTAATTCCCTAGTTCTAGCATAAAGCTGTTGGGAGGTGGTGATGAATGCTTAAATTTACCATGTTTGTTCTATGAATTTTGGATTTATATTACATTCTCTCAATTGTATTAAATTGTGATTTAATGAATTTAATTTAAATTTGTAGAAAACTACATTTTGAGCCTTCAACAATATCAATTGCTCAACAAGGCCCATAAGACTCGGTAATGCTTCTAATCATCCTCATAACATCCACAAACCTCTCTCAACAGGTTAGACAAGCTTTCATTGTACCTCATCCTTTAATATTTTGATTTTGGTCCCTTCAAAATCTTATTTGTTTTTCCTTTTATTACTACTCGTCTTATATTCTTTATTTGGTTCCTTTTATGAAATATATATTTGGTGACATTACATAATAGCAAAAACGCTAGATCTGACCGCAATGTTGTCAGGGTTGCTTCGGGCTGCTCGAATTCAGCAAAACAAATGGTGTTTTTTAATCTAATTTTTCTACCCCTCTACATAAGATGTATATACCTTTTTTACTCAAAAGGGTCTTGTGTTTGTAGCTTTTCATCAAATAAAGGATAATATTTCATTGCCTAATGGCAGGATTGCATATTTTTGTCGATAAGGGAGCAGAAAAGGTGTGCTGTTTTGGAAGAAAAAGGCCTCTAGTTGATTGACTAGTCCCCGTGTCATTGTATATGATATGTTTTCAATGTTAATATTGGTTTGTACTTCAAAGGAAATTGTTAATCCTCACAACAGGTTCTTTTGTAATAAAACTAGACTACATTGGGTTTCTTGGTAAATTGAGATCTGATGGACTGGGCCGTTTCATAGTTAAACTGTTTTTTCCATGGGGCCCAGCTTGAAAATCCCAAGAATGGTAATGTTTTTAAAAGTGACTGCCAACGTCTTAATACCAGTTTTGGGAGAATTTTCCCCACCTGAAGAGGAGAGGAGTCCATCGATTAAAAGACCCTATTCATTTATTCATGTTGAGCGGTAAAGATGTTTGTAGTCTTCTTCACAATAGTTATTTAGTGGGGCAAAAAATAAAATAGATTTCATCTACAATTATTCTGATTTATGATGCAATATCATATGTATAAATCATATTTGAAAGTCTTACTTCGCATGTTTGATTGAGTGAATTTTTTAGAACCATGTTGTTGCTGACTACACTTGGCTTTGAAATCTTTAACAAAGAAAAACTTCTAACTAATTGTCCCTTACATTTCTCCCTCAGGTATGATTTTGAAGATTGGTCTGATTTTACTTTGGGTAGTTTAGTTTCTTCTATTTGAACTGAATTTTCAGAATTTAGAAGTGAAAAGAAGATATGAAACATGTATATCAAATATCTTTCTGGTACTTATCCGTCCTCTAAATATAGTCTTGATTTGGTATAGTTTTTTCCCATTAATCAGTCGATTAGAAATAGTTCCTCTGTTCCATCTTTTTGGTTCTGTTCTTAAAAGATATATAATTTTATTTATTGAAATGTCTTAGTATAATTCGTGCAATTGTTGTTCTAGAAAATGATATTTGTATATGAAAATGCCAAAAGTCTGATATTGGGCTTGAAATAAAGGAGTGTCTTGAAAATAGGTCAAACAGGTTAAAAGAAGTGCATTAATTCCAATAAAAACTGCATTGAATTTAATAAAAGTGTCTTTGTTTTAAAAAACTTATTTGTGGTCTACTTTTCGTGTACAGGGCACTTTTTTAAGCAAGACCCTTCTATATATTGGTATTACATATTGTAGTTTTATTTTATTTTTGTCTTGTCAATGCTACTTCAAGAAATAATTTCGTTGCTTATGTGTGCTACATCGCTTTTTTGTATGTTTATACAGTTATTATGCAACTTCCCAACTTGTTTGGAACAAAATATGGTATAGTAATTTCGTACTGATAACTAATTGAGCCTAAGTAAAATTTTGACAACTAAACCACATATTTATTTCAAAAAGGAGGATCTCAAAAAGATGCTATTCAAGGAGATACTGTGGACTCAATCTGCGTGAAGGGCAATATCTGACTTTTCAATACATAAATATTTTTTTTGTTTTGTCTTCTCTTCTGATGGCAGTTTGAAAAATCGTTTCTAAGTGTGTTTCCAGCATTTGACTGCTTCTATTGGGATATTTGTTCAGCTTATTCCTTCTCTCCGCATGCTTACGTAGATTTGTTTTCAGGCATGGTTGTTATTCTCTAACACAGGTTTGGCCTTTGCGAGAGAACATACTTCAGAAGTGGAATGGAAGTGATATTCGCCCAATGGTAATTTGATATGATCTTATATGCATTTGGTGAATTTTGTGCTAAGATTGCTTGCCTTTATTCTTCATCATTTAAACTATTTGTGTATTTGTGATTGAGATTTTTCACTTATATTTTCAATAGTCCAGACATTGTATTAATTCATCTCCCAATGCCTTTCCAGGAGGGAAAGTGAATATGCAATTTTAACTGGCCAATGAATTTAATGCTAATAAAATAAGAGTTGCCAGAAGAAATCCTTTTGACTTGATGCTTTAAAATTATACGCATGATATTTCCAAGTAAATGAATTTTATCAACAGTGTGTTGTTCAAAATTGCAATATTGCAATGAATTAGAAAATGAACAGAGGGTAGAGTATATGAAAAAAATAATGGTTTGTCAATAATGAAAGGAGGATAATTACTTTCTAGATGGAGCTGCATGTTGCAAAAAGAATTCTACTCGCGTATGACTCCAAATAGAATGTTTAATATTTGTTAAATTAGAGATTTTTTCTAGCAGTATTTGTTCTCTTATATGCAGCAGCAAGCAACTACATTCTAATTCTAGCGAATTTCTGCCATGTTCCAATATTGCTGGATCTCTCATCACTACGCTGGTGTTTATAAACTGCGACGTCATTCTCTTTATTTTCTGAATTGTGTCAGAAATCTGTATGAAAGTGTGAAAAATGCATTGGATTTTTTTTTTTGTGATTCCTTATCTGCCTCTAGATAATATGCATACAAACCACAGAATATGTTAATGCTTCACCCTACACATGTTCTGATGGTAGGTGGATAAAACATCACTACTTCGCTATGGCCATGGCACTTATCAGTCTCACTTGGGAGACCCAGAAGCAGGTTATTCTCCTTTTAAGTGCTATTGAATTATTAATTGTTTTTTTTTTTTAATTGTTTTTTGCAGTGAGACTGTACAGGTTAGTCTCAACCGTGTGGCAGATTGAAGGGGTGCAACTGTTCCTTTCAAAGTGGGCTATCCTGCACGGAGTTTGCAATGCTCTCTACAAAATAGAATATCAACCGGCAAAAGGCCTTTTGTACACATATTGCACTCGGCAGGTGTCATTGAAAAAGAAAAAAAAAAAAAACTCCTTTCACCAACGAATTTTTGTGCATGCTTCATTTTTGCCTTTATTTATCTTCACTTCTTTTTTGCAGTCTACTTTGCGTGTGTGTCCGCACTTTGTTGGGTTGCTCTTTGTGAAACCTTGTCGTCCGGCCTGCATGGTTTTGCAGAACTTCAATGAGTTCTTTTTTTGGCTTCTGTTGGTTCAATAACAATTTTTTGTCTTCTATGCCGATCTGTGTTAGTTTTTTATGGCCCATCAAAATACAGATATACACACCGTTTTTTGGTGGGCATTATAATGTTATTGCAGTGTTTCTCCTCTGCATGGTCCTGGGATGACTCTTACCAAATTTGATCCCGTTGTTAATTGCAGCGCTAGAGAAATGGACGTGTGTTGGGGAGAATTATCTGCTGGATGTTCGGAGTACTTTGGTTGTTGGACCATTCTATTTCATATTACATGGTCGATTTTTAAGTTGGTCAAATGCTCGTTTCTCGACCGGGACCATCCCCACAAAAGATCATATTAATGTATGCTTTGCCATCCAAGCATGTTGAATCAAACAAACCAAGCGATTTAAATTAAAGGTGTTAAATATTCATTTTTTTTCTTCTATACTCCTCTGCGCTCTTATGTAACATGTATAAACTAATTAAATATATTTTAACCTACCTACACCCGCTAGGGAAGTGGAAGTTTTTTGTACTATCAAACATCATCAACATTCCTTGAGTGTTTTCTTTCATTTTATTGATGAGTTAAGTCATATTATCATTCTCTTACTAAGTTTGCCAATCTCAATCCATATCCTAGTTTTATTCCCATGTAATGCCACATCATAGTATATAATATCCATCTTTAAACGAGCTTCTCTCTCTGTTTTGAATTCTTCTTGGAACTTCACATGTCATGAATAGATCACCATAAGTTATTTGATTTTTTTTTTTCGTTTTTTTCTTTGAAGATATTAAGAAACGAGGCAATGCTCAAACAAAAAAAAGGAAAGAATCCTGTTAGCATCATTGGCATGATTTGATCATTAATTGCCATCCTTCCAAGTGAAAAAA